GCGCGCACCACACTTTGGGAATCCCTGCTTAAGCAAACCAAATTCTTTTTCATCCGGAGACGCCGTTCTCTGAGATTTGGAAGTTCTGACCAACAACACATTCATCACATTTAGCTTCATTCAGTCACAGAAAATGTTTAGTTCACTTATCATGTTATAATTGTAATAAAATATTTTATTACTTTTATAAACCTGACTCTTTTCTGAATCAAAACGAAATGTGTATATTTACATAATAAAGCAAAAATCCTAAAATCTTCTGATTAAGCCCAATAATCTTCTGATATTTACAATAAAGATGAAGCAAGGTAATATTGTATATTTATACAGAATATCAAATAAATAATAGATTTGCCTTCGCTACAGACGTTTTGTGTTACTGAGTGAACTAATTCCCCCGCTTCTCAAAAGCAACTTCTTAAGACCTCAAAATGTCCTTGGGTAACCAAAGAGTCTGAATGTGCCTGCAAACTGAAAACAAATTATTCTAATTAAATGTAGTAACATTGCATCTGGAACCTACCTCTTTGTCTTTGTCTGAAACCAGCCAACTTCTCCTCCTCCTCCTCCTTCTTTATCTTCTGCAAGAACAGAAAAAAGGCTACAGCTTATTCCTAAACTTAAACCTTTATTCACCGCGAGTAAGATGCATCATGCTTGTTAAAAGACACCCCCCCCCCCAAAGAAAACCCCCCAATATTTTTCATTCAGAAGATATACACTAAACTGTAATTTCACCACAGTTAGGCACTGTAAAGCAACAAATACAAATAAATGGAAATAAATACAGATGACAAACATTAACATTTTCAAATGATAAGGGGTTAGATGAGTTAAGTTTTGACCTGTTTTGGCATTTGTATTCCTGTATAAAAGCATATGTAGATTACAAAGTATCATCTTATAGCGTTATGGGATGTAAACTAACTTGATCAAACTTTTAACAACTCTGAAGGCTCTATTGAGAAGGTTTTGCTTCCTGTAGGAGAACACAAACACAAACACACACACACATGTACATAACCGTGTGCGCGCACATACACACACACACACGCGCATTGACTCCCACACACAACACACACACACACACACACACACCACACACACCACACACACACACTCTCACTAACACACACACACACACATCACATATGCAGGGAGAGAAAATGAAACAGTTGCAGCCAGCACATCTGTATAAGAGTGGCGCTAACAGGCACCCAGAGGGAGTCGGCTTTATTCTCCTCGGGCCCACAGAACTGTAACTGACATCCAGAAATCCTAATGTACACACACACACACACACACACACACACACACACACACACACACACACACACACACACACACACACACGTGTGTGTGAAGTCAGCATAAATTATATGCCAATAGCAATGACCCACACAGACTCACATGCTCTCATAAACATGTACACACACACACATCGACCCCAGTGATTAGCTGCTTGACAGTCTTTAGCCTTTGGATAAACATACAGCCTTGAGCCTTAATCAAATATTACACTCTCCTTCCCACTGCTCTATCTGTTTTTTCTTTTTTTGATTCTCTCCATCCACCGGCCTTATCATTATTCAGCTCAGACCTCCCTCCTTTGCTTTTGCTTCTTGTTTTCTAACCCCCTCCCTCCTCCCCGGGTGAGCGGCTGCAGAGGGAGGTTATCACCTCTCTCCCCAGTCAAACAAATTAAAATGGCTGGCTGTTTGGATGGGGTTTCTTTCTGCCACGACCTTCACCTCTCTCCAAATACACACATACACAGTTAGAAATGCTATCCAGTGTCATCACCAAGCAGGAGGCTTTTAGTTGATACAGTCAAAACCTTAATCCTCCTTTAGTGCAGAGGTGAAGCCAACACTGGGTTTCATCGGAGATCCTTACTTACGCCAGGAGAAAACCTTGGCTTTGACACGCTAGTCATCCACAGCTAACGATTTTAGACTATAAAGTAGATAAGTTAGTCAGTGAGCATTCACAGAGACATAAGTGACTCCACAAAGACCTGAAGTGATGATGTAACCATGTAGGAATAAATTTTAAAACCAGAGAAGCTTAGTTTTAGGAAAGCGTTACCATTTTTCACAATACCGTTCTACACTGAATAAATGACACATTCAGCTTTATGGCAGGGTTGTCCACACTTTTTCAGTTGAGAGCTAAAATTTAAGTTAAAATTCTAAAATCCCACAAAAGTTTTTCTTTTTTAATTTTAAAACTACAGAAATAGTTTAATTTCACTTTTTTTTTTTGTAAATGATCCTGCAGGAGAAAGTCTCTGAGGCGCCGGGCCACACTTTAGACACGTCTGCTTTATATGACTTATGAGTTTCTAGTTCCTGCAACTTTATTCACTTAATGCAGAAAAGAAAACAATTTTTTGTGTTTTAAAATATTTCTGACAGCCGTCAGAAATCAGAGAAATATTACTGATGAACATTTTCAAACATTTTAGAGTCAACAGCAGAAAAAAAGCCTGTATCGTTGGATCTGATTCAGTAATAAACTTCAGGTACTTTCAGAATAAAATTAAATATTCAGTTTTATTTTAGACTTGCGTTGGAAAGAGTAATTATATTTGTGTCGAAATATGTGTGGTGCAAAATCAGATCTTGATTTTCTTGTATGTTTTACTTAATATTCAAGATCTTCCATGCATGTCTTCTTGAAGAAGAAGAAGAAGAAGAAGAAGAAGAAGAAGAAGATATCATTTCTATAGCGCCTCTCAAAGATAAAAATCACGAGGCGCTTCACAAACCAAAAAATGTGAAAATATAAAAAATTATTTAGAAAATGATTAAAAATATATTTTAAATGAGCAAAAATAGACAATTGTGATTAAAAAATGTTAAGAAAGAGAGAGAGTGAATAGGAAAGAGGGAAATCAGTGGATCCTGAGGAAGGTGGAATAGGTGGGGAGAGCAGAATAAAGAGAGAGAGGTGAAGAAGGTCATACAAAAGCCAGCTTGAACAAGTGAGTCTTCAGCTGCTTTTTAAAGGAGACCACTGAGTCCACTGATCTCAGGCTCAGGAGGAGAGAGGTCCAGAGTCTGGGGCCACAGCAGCAGATGATCTGTCACCTTTGGTCTTTAGCCTGGTGCTGCACAACCAGTAGGCTTTGATCACTGGACCTCAGGGACCTGCTGGAGGTGTAGGGACTAAGAAGATCACCAATGTAAGATGGTGTTTGTCCATGTAAGGCCTTATAGACCAGAACCTGGATCTTGAAATGAACCTGGAGTTGACTGGCAGCCAGTGAAGCTGGAGGAGAAGCGGGGTGATGTGGGTGTGTTTGGAAGACTTGGTCAGAAGCCAAGCACAGATCCGATCACTTGCGCACACTGCCCGGCCACAAAAAAGTCACCACCCAAAAAATTGTCACACACACTAATATTCATTGGATCACCATTAGCTTTGATTATGACACACATTCACTGTGGCCTTGTTTTGATAAGATTCTGCAATGTCAAGATGTATTTCCATCCAGTGTTGCATGGATTTTTTGAACCACTCTTTCACTATTTGAGCACTATGAATCCTGGCATTGTCATCTTGGAATATGCGCGTGCCATCAGGGAAAGAAAACAACCATTGATGGAATAACCTGATCATTCAGTATATCTGGGTAGTCAGCTGACCTCATTTTTGGAGCACACACTGTTGCTGACCTAAACCTGAAAAACTGCAGTAACCCCGGATCATAGTACAACCCCTACAGGCTTGTACAGTAGGCACAAGCATGATGGGTGCACCACTTCATCTGCCTCTCTTCTTACCCTGATATACCCATCACTCTGGGGACAGGGTCGATCTGGACTCAGACCGGTTTTAATAACGCGTTGGACAGTTCTTAACCCAGTTTTAGTCGTTTCTGCAATCTCCTTAGATGTTTTCTTTTCCACAACCACCACATGTGTCTTTCCACATGGTGCTTAAGAAATGAGAAGCAACTCATTGCACAGTTGGGGTTAAATAACTTATTGCCAGCTGAAAGATAATCACCCATGCTGTCCAATAGGAGGCTCTACCTGTTTGCTTTGTTAAATCCAGGTGGCGACTGTCCCACTCCTGTTCTGACTATGCTGCATTGGATCCAGGTTTGGTACAGAATCTATTTAAAATGATTTATTTATTTTGGTGTATTTTAAGTTTTAGTTATTGAATGTGAGCTTTTTAGTTTCTTTCTGGTATTCTACATTTTAATATGTTGTTTGTGACCCCACCTGCCATTATCACAGTGGTGGTTTAGATATAGATTGGCTCTGCAAGCAGACCAGTGTCTTTGTGCATTTAACTGGTGCTACACAACAACCAGTATGTGGCCAAATGGCAGCCTGAAAAATGAGCAGGGGTGAAAGGTGTGTTATGTGTGTGTACAAGTACATCTTTGTGTGCTTGTTTGTGAATGTAAGTAGGCGTTGGTGACTCAACGAAAGTCATTCCAGAACGTCTCCCAGGGGGACTCCCCAAATAAAGAGCAGGAAGCTTTCCCTTAATCTAAGGGCCACCCCCCATCTCGCCAACCCAACACACACAGATAAAGGGCAAAGCTCTTTGTCATGGACGAGGAATCAAACACATGGGTGGTTGGGTGGGGTGGGGGTTCTGTTGTCTGTACACGGGGTGAAAATATGCTAATCAACCTGGAGGCCCTGTTCAAACCCAAACCATCACTGCCTCGTTCCATCGCGGTTCGGCACATCCGAAGGAGTCTGGAGCTGAAAAGGCAGATGGCAGCGGCTTACCAAACAGCTGAACAGACTCACAAGAGGCCTCGGCATGCTGACTGCAATTTCAACAAATCTAATTGTAAAGCACTCCTAGCAGCCATCTTTGAGGCCAAGCTCAAAAATCTCAGAGGAAAATGGACATCCTTTGTTTTAAGGTAGCAAACTGGGTTTAAGCAGACTGGGGACAAAATTTTGCCCTGGAAATCTCTGTCTGTCCAGTCATGTGAGCGAGGGAGGAGGGAGGCAAGTGAGTAGACACCAACTCCTCTGGATGCAGCTAGAGTCGCATATCCATTTTCTACCCATATCTCACCTGTGCGTGCTAAGTGCCAACACCAGCCCAAAGCACACCCACCAGCCCTAGAACTCACTGATTGCCAGTCCGCCTCTGGTTTAAGATGAACACTTTTAAAGAGAAGTCCATGTGCCAAGTAGAATTTTAAATGTTTCCACATCCATTTTAAAACACCCACTGTGGGTTCCACTGACTTCTGTTCAGCGGGACGCCTCGTTCATTATCTCATCACTCCATCGTCAAGGGTAAAGCAACACAATGGCATGGAAGAGAGGGAGACTGAGGGAGGGACGAATCGGGGAGAGACAGCGACAGATGCTACCTGTCCGTCTCAAAGGTACCCTGATTACTTGAAGATGAAGAGGAGGGGAGGGCTGTGTGTCTGTTCATCAGCGCAGTCACAACAAAGCAAAACAGAGGAACTGAGTGTGCGTGCGTGTGTTGTGTGTGTCTGCATGTGAATGCATTGAATCCGTCCTTCTACCAGTGAGAGCAGAATGGAAGTGTACGTGTGGCTAATGAACCATGACACCCAGATCTCCTG